ACACACACACACACACACCAAAATCGGCACATACACAGATCGACATACAAACACGACTCAACGCACAGCCCAACACCGCCGCTCGTCCGCCACCGCCCGTCCGCTGCCGCCACAGCTTCTCCAATCAGCGCTTCCCCTTAGGGATGTCAATAAAACCCGTAGGATCGGGTTACCCGTGTTGCCCGCATTTTCGAATCGGGTAAACCCAAGATGATTGAGTTTCGGGTAGAATTATGCTACCCAAACCCCGAGACGGGTGCGGGTATAGTAGAAAGACTCGTTACCCGACCCAGTTACCCAACCCATATAAAAGTAATCATGTGTTATTTTTAAAATTAGATTATCTATTATAATTTTGATTAATGGTTAAATTTTATTTTATTTTTATGATTTTATTGTCATTTTTTGTTAATTGTACAATAAAAAATTAAATACTTACTTTTTAAAATGTTATATTATTAATTAGACTATAAAAGATAAATAATTATATCTCATTATTTATTTCAAAAATAATATAATTTTTTTTATAGTTTTTTATTGTCAAACTTAGTTAATAAATTATTTGTTGCATTATAATTAATTGTAAAATGGTTTTATTTTATTTTTTGATATGAAACGAGATGGGTCGGGTAAAGTCCAAATATAAGATTCGGGTTACCCGTTTACCCGACGAAAATCCACTAACCCTTCGGGTAAATCCAGCCCGAACCCGAAGATCACTAGCCCGGTAACGAGTCGGGTTTGGGTAGGGTAAATTAAATGCGGGTCGAGTTCGTGTTTGCAAAACTCGTACCCGACTCAACCCATTTACATCCCTACTTCCCCTCTGCCGGCTCTCTCTAGACAGTCGGCGTGCATTTACAGCATCACTAACCACCGGCGCACCATGGCTCCCACTGCCGACGCATCGACAATAGAACACCACCGCAAGTCCACCAAATCACCTCCTGCCACCGCGAATCACAACACCCAATTCCACCAATTTCCGCCAACCCTACCCTCTTTCTTCACCATCTCTGATTTTCGAAGTTTCAGAGTTTAATTACACAAGGTAGAATACCTTTGGTTTATACTTTGAATGTGAGGATAATCGGGAATAATATGTTCGGCGTGTGTGAATTCGACAGGGGTTGGTGAACGTCCGTCGAGGATGTTCGGCGTGTGATTTTTCCAACTGGTTCTCGTCGGGAAGTTGCCAATCTGAGGGAGGGGCTGTTTTGTGAAAATTGATAATTCAAAATGACTTTTCTGCAGTGTACTAAAACTCGGCCTAGGCGGCCGCCTAGGCGCTAGGCGCCGGCAAGCCGCCGACGATTTGGCCAAATCGGCCATAAAAATCGGTCGGGCGGGCTCGGCGGCGCC